CGCTTCGGGAGAACGTTCCCTAATGTTAGACCTCATAGCCTGATCAGTAAGGTGTTCTCCCAAGGTATTTGCGACTTCAAATATCGACAAGTTTACTTTTTATTTCCGATATATTTCGATGCATAATCAACAGTTGTAGAATAACGATATGCTTGTTGCATAAACAACAGAAAAAAAATAAAAGTAACCCTACTCAAAAAAAAAAAAATTTTTTAAATAATAATAATAGGTTACCTATATTTATCTACCTGTGTATATATTTTTGTACTGTCCTCATTGCAGATTTTAAAAGTAGAGAATGTATTGGTTGGCTGGAGGGAGGAAGAGTTTAAAGTCTAATTTAAAATTGATTAATGTTTCTCACGATTGAAGCAACTAACAGCAATACGCATATTTATACTGTCATTATTTATTTCAATTCAGAAGACAAAAGAAACGGGATAAAAGATACATTTAAGATCTTTTCCTTACATCAAGACTGAATATTGGAATCCACTTTAATGAATAAACAAAAGTGCGAACTGCAAATCGGAGATGCCCAAATCAAACAAGTGCGTAAATTTCAATATTTGGTCAGTGTTTTAACAGAGGACGGAAAGTGTGACACTGAAATCCGAAGACCTATTGGGATAGACAAGGAAGCATTCCAAAAGCTAAACAGAGTACTAACAAACAGAAAAATTCGTTAGAAACAAAGAGTACTGAACTTACGTGATATCTGTCCTCCTGTACGGCAGTGAATGCTAGACAATCTTCTCATAGATAAAGAAGAGACTTGAAGCAACAGAAATATGATTCTACAGAAGGATGCTGAGCATTCCATGAAACGAACATGTGGAAACTTATACTTAACATCAGGAAGAGATAGTTGAAGCTTCTAGGGCACATAATGAGGAAAGAGGGCTTGGAAAATCAGATATTCACAGGGCACACTCAAGACAGGAGTGAAAGTGAAAAACAAAGCATAATATACTTAGTGAGCTTATGTAAATGGATAACGGAACAGGGTTTAGGAGAAATTACAGAAATACAAAATTTATTAAAAGCTGCAAGGGGCAGGAAGTTGTGGAGAGACATGATCGCCTACTTTCTGAGGGATACGACACATAAAGAAGAGGAAGAACTTTTTATTACTATTTCTTTAATCTTAATTTTAGTTACTTAATTTCATCTTAATTGTTCAGGCCGTCATTCTACGGCCATTATTAAAAAATTTCTTCTATATGCCGCTTCTCTTCAGGACATAGGTGACTATGACTCTCCACAACTTCCTACCTCGTGTGGTTCTTACAGAGTTTTTTTTTTTCTCCCATTGATAAAATGCTCGATCCCTTTCCACCAACCACCCACGTAGGCTCGCTACCCTTCCCCTATCCATCTTGCCCTCAATACGCTCCGTGATGGTTAAGTTTTCCAAGCCCTCCTTCCTCCTTATGTCTCCAAGAAATTTGCTGATCGGAAATACTTTCTTTCTCTCTTTTTTTAATATACTTGTCATGTCTTAATATTCTGGGAGTTGTTTTGCAGATGATATTCTACATTGTCCAAAGAAGAGAAGCGGAGATCTGAATATTTATTGAAAACTTTCGATTTACGCCATTTTGTTTTCCTGGTAAGAAACTCTTTCTTTTCCTGAGACCGTGTCAAATGAGGTCAAGTGTCAATATCAATTCCGCCGAGAAAGGTGATTCTTTGACTTTATTATTTACTATTCCTGATTTGTAGGAATAACAACACATACACACGCAAAAACATACACAAACGCGCACGTACATAATCTATAAATAAGCATAATGTGATAAAAAGTTAATTTAAAAAAGACTATTTTCATGTATGTATCGTCTAACATGATTATTGCTTCTGTAAGAAATCATATTAATATAAATATGGTTGGTTTAAGATATCTGTATTGTAGTTAACACAGCAAAGAATTTTTTAGTCGTTACAATGGTATAAACATAGTCAATGGTATAAACAATGAATACCAGGATGTAAATCCTATAAAAATATTATTTACTTATGAAGATTTGTTGGCATGAAGTTAAAGAGTTGTGACTGATTAAGTTAGAATATTTATTCGTAAATTGGTTTATTACTTCCAGATCAATTAATATGGATTTAAACTTGTGTGATTTTAATGCAATAGGACGCATCCATGATAACAACTGTTTGCTGGTGGTTATACATATGTGGGTGATACGTATACGGTTTTAAGAGCTGGTTCTTTAACAGATCAGATATATATATATATATATATATATATATATATATATATATATATATATATATATAATTATTTTTTATAAAAAAATTATAACATTTTCAACATCATCACTTGATAAGACACAGAGTGTGTTGAAACAAAATGGCTATTTTTGTAGTGATTTTATAACATACTTATGTTTACAATTTTTTATAAAAATAATTATATCTGCTCTACTTTGTATTGAGCACTCTTTTAAAAATAGTAATTGTTGGTTATTGAATTCATTCCGTATATACCAATTATATACTTTGATATATATATATATATATATATATATATATATATATATATATATATATTATAAAAACGCAGATTGTGTGTGTGTGTGTGTCTGTAACGTTTATATATTGATCGGATTTCCTACATTTTCGACCGATTTTAACAAAACTTCACAGGACTACATAAAATTACCTTGTGGTGGTTCTAACAGCGCCAAAAATGGGAAAAATATAATTGTTTTTGCACAAAATCAATTTGAAAACACGATTAAGACACATCGTGAAAATGGAAGGGGGACAACTCACATCGGGTTGTTTGTGTGTGTGGGTTCCTTTAAATATGGGAACGGATTTCCTATATTTTTCAGTCGATAAAACAAAACTTCACTTTTTTTGGGGGGCAGGTAGTGTTTCTTATTCTCTTGCACACTTTTTTCTTTATTTTTAACATTCAGAATGCTTTAAAAATTCCATTTACAAGACAATTATTTATAATAAAATTCTATTCAATCGGTAGAGACTCATAACGATTGAAAACAATGTTTTTTTTTTGAGTTTAGGTTTGACCAATTCGTAAAAAAAAACTAATTAAGACATTCGTGTCCGTCAACCTTAAACAATAATCTTTGTCAATTTTATTTTTCAGTCTTTATGATGGTCAATACTTGATCTATCTCTTACTGTTACATCCCCGGGCAACACCGGGCTCTACTGCTAGTATATATATATATATATATGATCTGTTAAAGAACCAGCTATTATATATATATATATATATATGTGTGTGTGTGTGTGTGTGTGTGTGTGTGTGTGTGTGTGTGTGTGCTGGTCATACGCGTAATGTTTTAAAATCTTGAACTTGTCCCAAATGTGATTAAAATACAAAGTATTTTGACTTTTCACATTAAGAGACTTGTTCTTTTAATTATACTATTGAATCCACCGTAGAGAAACAAGCGTGGTTTATCTGGCAAAGAAGTTTTTCAAGTAGTCTTAAGATGAACATGCTTGAAAATAGGATTTTGGACCTCATGAGGTCAAGAAATTCGATTCTCTAATTAATTATTAGCCTTCTTCAATGCCAAAAATTCACTCACTTCTGTATATGCACATTATTATCTTACATGCAACTTACGAACACACACACACACACACACACACATATATATATATATATATATATATATATATATGGACATGTATATATTTCTACGTATGTGGACATGTATATGTAAGTGTAAGCAAGTCAAGCTTAAAAGTATTCGACCCCACCAAGAAGACCTTAAAATCTATAGTCAAATTTTAAGAAGTAGGTTGGACCGAAAAGTTTTGAGAACCCACTTGTACACACACACACACACACACACACACACACACACACACACATATATATAAGGATATTACCGCGATTCAAAATTGGTGTTTCAATTATGCATAAAAGAACACGTGCTAATATATATATATATATATATATATATGTATGAGAGAGAGAGAGAGAGAGAGAGAGAGAGAGAGAGAGAGAGAGACATCCCTACTCAAGCACGTGTACCCACTACATAAAATGTTTGAAGTAGTGATATATATATATATATATATATATATATATATATATATATATATATATATATATAATCCGTTGGTATATAATACAAGTGAATCCTAATAATATGAAATATTAAAACTGGTCCACAAAGAGAGCTCAATGTATATATTCAACAGAACATTGATAAAAAAATAACGAAGAAGAAGAAGAAGGAGAAGAAGAAGTATAACTTATTTGAATAACAGAAGAAAGGAGAAAGAAAATAGAATCATAGGAGAAAATAGGTGGCAAGAGACAAAGAAAGGCAAAATAATATAGAGCGGGAAAACTGAGACGAAGAGGTTGGGAAAGGATAATAAAAACATGGAGTGGATATTAAAAATGAATTGGCAGAGGCAAAGGAAAAATGTATGGGCATGTGTCTGTGTCTGTGTATGTGTGTGTGCGCGTGTGTGTGCGCGTATGTATTTATGTATACGTTTTATGTGAGTGTGTATGAGAGAGAGAGAGAGAGAGAGAGAGTAACTACTGTGAAATGTAATATTACACCCATTTACCTTCTACTTATTTATATGCAGGACATACACGTGTATCTATTGCAGAAAAGAATGATTCAAAAGTAAGTTCAAAACTTGACAAATGTTACACTTCCCAGCATGTTTTACTTACAAGTGCTTTTTTCTACGCCATCTTTTCTTTTCAAATTCTCATCTTTCCATCACCCCCATCATCTCTTTCTCTCTGTCCCACACATTTTTATCTCTCTTTCCATTCTATTTCTTTTTTTCATTCGTTCTTTCTTTTCTTATTCCATTTTCTTTCCACTCTACAACGTTTTCCACATCTTTCGCGATTGTTTTTTACTTCCCTAAAGTTTTTCTTCTTTTTTATACTCTGTACAATCTTTTCATCTTTCTTTTCCATTCTAAATTATCCTTATACCTTCCAATCTGTATTTCTCTTCTTACAGGTTTGCGGCTCTATCACATTAAAACACCGGTTCTCGAACGATAACCGAAGTTAAGTAAAGTTGAGCCTGGTTACTACCTAGATGGGTGAACGCTTGGGATGACTAGTTGCTGTAAGCTCGGGTGTGCGGGTGGTGTAATGGATAACGGCTCGGAATTGGTGATCGAATAGCCGAGTTCCTATTCTAGTTGGGTTCGTTATATTCATTTACATGCAAGTACCTTTGGAAAAGGTATGAATCCACCTCTTCTCCCCACAGCTATGGATTAATTAGTAAGACTTGTATCAATAAAACTTTATTATCTCTAAAATCTTTTACAATCTAAAAATACTTTCTGACTTTAAATAACATGCAGAAGGTAGATAACCAGCGACTACATGAATTTAAGCGTACTAATAGTATGGTAACTAGCTCTTACCGTTTTAATTTTGAACTAACTGGATGACACCAACATTTCTATTCGAACAGTTTTATTTTTCGCACTTTTTTTCCCGATGTCTGGCTTCCTTGTCACCTTTAAAATCTTTAAAAATTTAAATGCGACCTCAGTCGGCATCATCTTCCTTTATTGTCCTTTCTTCACTGCTCCTATCTTCTCATTCTCTTTTACTCCCTGTATCCACCTGCGTCATAGTGGCATTGTCGCCTTCCTTGGGGTGAAACGATAAAAAAATCAAGTTCTTCCAGTTTTCCCTCTTTCACTTGCACGTTTCACGTTTTTTTAAAACTATCTCTAATTTCAATATTCTTAAATAAACCTTCTTCTTCTTCTTCTTCTTCTTTACTCTTTCCCCTACCTCCTCCTCCTCCTCCTTCTTCTTCGTTTTGTCTTTATATTTTCCTACCCTCTTTCCTATGTTTTTCTCTTCTATTCCCCCTTTTTTTTCTTGCCTTCTACATGTCTCTTCATTTATCATCTTCCTTTCTATCAAGTTCTTCGAAATACATCGATAACTTCTTGTATATGCGATGTCTCTTCAGGACGTTGTCGATTATGGCTCTCCTGCTCCTTGTAGCTCTTAACAACTTTGATCTTTTTGCCATCTTTCCCATACTCTGCTCTGTCATCAATTCACTCAAGCTTGCCAGTTTTCAGTTCACATTGCTTAACTCGTAACCCATTCGGTAAAATATATTAAGTTTTCATCGTTTCCATTTGTAGCTCTTATTTAACACCATTCATGCTAGTCATGGTCAAATTCGTCAAATTCGTTCACCCCCCCCCAATCGCACCACACCCAATCCGTACACACTTTCATTGCAAATGAATATATCCAGTGGCGATTCTACGGAGGGTGGTGGGGTGCAAAGAGGGTCAATGTTAAGTTTTGCAGAGGAAAAAAATCAAAGCAGACAAATTACAATTCTGTTAGTATTGACGTTAGTATTATTAACCCTTTGATTTTGTTTTTAAAGTTAACCTCTCTTGTGGTCCAACAGTTTGAGAGTGAAAAAGAGGACAAAAATAGATTAGAACTCCACTAGTATGAAAGAAAAGTTATTCCGTTTAATTTAGTGAAGTAACATACTTATACTAAAACTCATTCCTAAGTTGTGTATACGATAGTGGTGTAGTATGAAAATAAAGACACTGCTTGAATTTGCTCCCCTATGCCTACACAGAAAAATCTCGGCCCCCAAATTCCTCCCCGACCACTTTCAGAGTTCCAGAATCGCCACTGAATATATCTAACAACCAGTCTATTCAAGATGTTTTCCTCGTCTCTATTAAATATGAATGAAAATCTCTGACAAATCAAAAGCTTTTTAGACGTTCAAGTGGAGGTAACTGAAACAATTTATAAAATTCAATTTACTTATTAAAATATATCATACTTATTCTATAATATAAATCACAGTGTGACCATATCGATCACACAGCCTGATCTCCTTTAACCGTATGCGGCATTAATTGACATAAAAATCTTCTTCCCAAGAAACGCTATTTTGTGGAACAGACACCCGCGTCGATGCTCCCCGGAACACTACAATCTTAGCTTCTTCAAGTTTAGGGTAAATCGTTATTTGTCCTTCGTATCATCGTAATCTACACTTCCTACCATTATATTACACACGTCATTCAGTAACCCTCTACTTTGAGTATCTCTTGGTCCTTCTATTGGATGAACTAATGAATTCATCAGTTTACCATAAAAAGGAATATCTTATTATTAAGTAGGGTAGATAAGGTTGTTGATAGGTTTTATATATTTTGATAGCTTTTTTTAGATAGTTATACTTTGATTTATAAAGCAAATTTTTTACATGTGACAGTAAAGTTAATTGTATAGATGAAAATCCTTGATTATTCATACAAAAATATAAATAACACAATTGCAAAAATACTTGGAAAGGCACTTTCCATCTTCTCCATCTTTTGTTTTCGGTAACTTTAATGCTCCCTATGACACGTGACTGAAACATTCTAAAGGTACAGATGCTACCGGTATACAGACATTAAAATTTTCCATTGACCAATCCCTTACTCAAATTGTGGACCTCCCTACTGGTTTCCCTAGCCAAACCGAGCAACAGGCTTCTCTAAGGGATCTGTTTCTTGCCTCTTCTTCTTGCTCTTACCGAGCTTCACAACACTGCTCTTTTGATAACTCGGACCACTCTATGGTAACTATTGATATTTCATTCCAAGCATCTATTAAACAGAAACACTCTTTCCGTATGACTTCTTTCCGTTACCAAAATGCTAATTGGGATTCATTTTGGGATTTTCTTTGTGACGCCACATGGTCTAATATGTACAACCTCCCAATTAAAAATTGCGCCACTGAGGTTTCTTCTTAGATAAAAGCCGGCATGGACGCTCCCATCTCTTTGGAAAATACCTTGGAAATATCAGGTGTGACCGCAATCCTCTCCGCGGTTTCCACCAGCATGCTCGGCTGCCATAGCACACAGGAACCACTATTTTCGACTATACCAGCATGTCAGCTCTCGTCATAACAGGTCCCTATTCGATACTGTTCGTAACAAATGTAAGCGAGTTCTCGAAGGAACTAAGTCCATTTGCCGAGAAAATGTGGGATCGCATAACCGCTAATAACTTTGGCTCTTGTGATTACTGGCGACTCTATAGGTCCTACCCTGTTTTTAATGTTCATTAACGACCTTCCTGATTACATCAGCTCTCAACTTGGCATTTACTCTTGCCTCAATAGTAAGACTGATCAGTCCGACAAGATCAAAATGGCAGCTGATGTACAAAATGACCTCAAGACCGTCGTTAACTGGGGCAAAAGATGACTCCAAAATTAAACTTCTCTCCATTAATCATCTGCTTTCCATCAGCATGGCTGATGCTTACTCCCAGGAAAGTGACTCGTTGCGTCTTCTCGGGTTAACGTTCTCAGCTGACATAAAGTGGAAAGACTATATTGAATCCATTGCTTGTGGAACTTTCTTCCGGTTCCATGCTTTCCAGCCAACTTTAATCTGCAAAAATTTAAATGCAATGTCAATCGCTATCTACTGTCCTCCTCTTTTCTTTTTTTACCCATTACTAATGTGTCCGTTCCTAATTCCACTACACACTGTAGTCCTTTGCGTCTTAGTTGTTGTACTGCCTTTCTTTGGATGATACCAATTTTTGACGATAACATTAGAGGGTAATAGAAATAGATACTATCTCCTATCGCCCGGTTCACACTCTGCTGCTTCATTGTTTTCTGTTTAGGATTTGGTTTCCGGTTCCTTCTAAAGTATTCTCATTCTTTTTCATTCCAAGTAAGACTCAAAGAGTTTGCGTCTCAGTGGCATTATCACCTTGCTTGGTGTGAATTGATTTTTAAAAAAAAAAGGTATAAGAAATCCGAGAAAACTTTAATAAATTTCCACAATAATCGTAAAACTAATAATCATCTTAACTTCTGAATACGACTTTAGCCATCGAAGAATGGTATGATCGTAAATCAAAAGTTATTCTACAAAGTGTGAATCTGCAGTCGAACCATACCTTCCAACCATGAAAGCGAATTATACGACTTGTCAAAGAAAACTCAATTTGCCAAATGTCATGTGTACAAATAATGACAGACAACAGACAGAGTTTAAAAAAGAAAAAAAAAAAGAAACATGTACAAATCAACAAATTAATAAATTTTACGTAATTACTGGAAATCGTGTGCGAAAATATTGAAACAAAGTGAACGGGAATAGGGAAATTTATAGTGTAGATCAATTCAAAAACTCAAGATATAAGAAAATAAATATTAAAATAAAGCTGAGATTTAAAAAAAATAAGTATTCAGTGAAGGAACCGACATACATTTAAATTGGTTACAATTTTAAAAAGAGCAAGGATATCTTTTGATATTTAAAAAGAGCAAGCATATCTTTTGATATTTAAAAAGAGCAAGGATATCTTTTGATATTTAAAAAAGACAAAAAGTATTGAAAAATGAGCTTAAACAATAAAAGAAGGTAATATATTTTATTTACATTGCACAAATTGTTGTCTTCGTTTTTATTGCTATATTCACGACGTTTCTGTCGTTTTACGATACGGCCTTCCTCAGGTGATTGAAATTTCGAACTGAACCCTTTATTTCTGCCATCAGCGTAAATTGTCTTCCGGATGTCTCAGTCATCTCCCTTTAACTCAATTCTCCACTGCAGTAGCCAGGTATTGAACTCACAACTCCTTGAGTCAAGTCACTGGATTCAACCAACGCTTTTATCCACTGGGCCAATACAATATTTGGAAACAACTATTAAAAAGATCAAAGTTATTGAAAAAGAGTTAAGATATTTTTGTAAAGCTGAGATGTTTTCAAGAAATAAGATATAAAAATAGTTAAGATACTTTTAAAAGTAGCTATGTTAAAATATCAGATATATTTTTAAAGAATTAAAATACTTTTATAAAGGTGCTAAAATACTTTACGAATGAGCTGAGAAATCTTTAAAATAAGCTAAGATATTAAAAAAACCGATGATCTTTAAAAACAAATATGGCAATAAAAAAAACAACTAAGATATTAAAAACGGAAAAAAACATCCTAAGATATTAAAAAGCAGTTCATTTAAAAAAAACAAGTAAAGAGGTAAGATATTTAAAAATAAATAAGAAATAAATGATCGTGACTTTGAAGAAATATGAAACATCGTTAATAACAATTTTCCAGTAAGCTCTCAGTGTAATTGTGCGCATGTTTTTTCGCATATCTCCGTGAGCCTCTGCCTTAACAATCTCATAAACTTATTTTCTCATTTTTTCCTTTGTTTAAAAGGATTATTCCATGAGTTTCAAACACGCACACAGATTTGTTCATTAAACACATAATTAATCCCCTGTACACGCCATAGATTTGCGCAAAATGGAGAGTTTTGCAAACATTACAAATATAAGAACAGTTTTTAAAAAATCACTCAAATATTACAATTGAAGAATTTAGGAATAATTTGGAAGCCACTAGCATGACAGTAAGTCCAATTACTAGAACAACTCTGTAGAGAGAAGACCTACATGTATGGCGATTTTCACATCAAATCGGCATGCATGTAGCTAACAGCTAACAAGCTTGTCTTTCTGGATTAATTATAACTGAATAGTGAGTTCGATCCTCACTCAGTGCTCCATACTTTAGGCCTTGTGCCAATCTAAGCTACGCTTAGTAAATCGCCGCATACATGACTGTTTGAATGTCGACGTGGTGAAATAGTTAACAAGCTTTTCTTGTTAGATCAATTACGATTAAGTAGTTAAGTTCGATGATCACCAGGTGCTCCATACTTTTGACCTTGTGCCACATCTAAGCATCGTTTAGTAAATCACCAGAGCACATTAATGTGGTGTAATGGTTAATAAGCTTGTCTTGATAAATCAATTACGACTGAGTAGTGAGTTCGATCCTTACTGGGTGCTCCATACGTTCGGCCTTCTTATGTCGGGAAAGTTGAAAATAATATTAGCTCAACCCCCAGGATGGGGTACTTCTCTTCGGACAGTAACCTCCTACTTTGAGTACGCTGATTATTTGTTTATCTATTTGTCAGAAAAATAGGGAAAGGTTGGGGAGGGGGAATAGTTTTGTTCATTGGTCTTCTTTCGACCTTCCTTGACCACAACACTTGTCAGAATCGAAAAATATTGATTCGTTGTCGATTTAGATGGGAGGGGGATTCTTGTTTATAACATCGATTCAGTGTCAAACCGATTCCTGACTTTTACAGATTTATCGAGCTTAGGCTAAGTCACTTCACAGTTATTTACAAATGTCAAGTTTGAAATTGTCCTAACATTATTGATATTTATATTTTTTCATATTTCATTCTAAAATTATTCTATAATCATTTTATGAATGAAAAAAAACTCTTTTTCTTGTATAGAATTTTTTCGGAAGCACATGCACAAACATTTGGAGTTAATAACTGTTTATCTTATATGAAGATAATAGGAGTAGATAGGTTCGCCTATCGTCCGGTTCACAATCCTCCCCGATCTTTTGAACAGGAGTAGAGGTTGATCCCTTGTTTCCCGTTTAGAATTAGGTTCTGGTTACTCCTAAAATCTGATTCCACATTATTCTCGACTGAACTTTATAATGCTATTCACTAATTAAATCTTGTCAATTTCAAGTCTAGAGTTGTTGCCTTTTCTTACGCAAATACAACAACATACAATAACCCTCTACCTTGAGTGGCTCTTGGGGCTTGTATTGGATGAACATTAGTAAAATATCCATTGCAAATAAAAAAACAGGAATAGTCGGTGCAAAGAGAATAAAAATTAATAATAAAAAAAAGACAGAAAGGGAGATTAAGAAAAAAGAGAGAGAACATTTTCTCTCTTTTTCTGTGTGTGTCTCTGTGTGTGTGTGTGTGTATGTGTCTGTGTGTGTATGCATGCATATACATTCTCCTCCTTATGAACGCGAGGTATCCCCCACCCAAAACAGCAAATGCATGAAACTGCGGATCGTACCAAACTTATACATACATATATAATTATAATACCGTTTAATTTACAAATTTAAAACAATAAGCCATTTAGTAACAATAAAATAGGACAATTATAACAATATCATATACAACAATGAACAGTGCAATCTTTTCTGATTGTTTCGCAACAAGAATTACCCTTTGAAACCTGATTTCACTCTTCAGTCAATAATAAAGTAATCCACTGTTCTGAAAACACGAGGCATGCTCGACACCGCTTGAAATGAGTGGTGTATGATCATAACAACAAATTTTAAACAATAATTTCAATATACATTTTTACATATTTTTTTAAAAATATACACACTCATATACACAGTCATACTATATATATATATATATATATATATATATATAGAGAGAGAGAGAGAGAGAGAATGACAAATCAGGTCAGGTTTATATTTATTAGGTTATATTAATATATCAGTGACACCATTACAGTGAGGCGATTCTGAGAGAGTTAGAAGTCCTGCCAGGATTCATTTTCATTATTGGCGGCAAAACAATCTTACTAATATAAGATATGCAGATGATTCAGTACTGATTGAAGACGCGGAAAGTTGACTACAAGGATTTCTACAGAAATGCGAGCGAGAAAAAAGGACAAATCATAGTTTTAATTGTAATAAGAGAGAATGTACAGTGGCCAGCAAAATGAACAACCCAATACGGGAACTAGGAATTGGAGGCACCCAAATCAAGCAAGTACAAAAATTTAAATATCTGGGAAGTATTCAAAAAGAAGATGGAAAATACGAGACCGAAACCTGAATAGGGTAACATGTCTTCCAAAAGTTAAGCAAAGTATTAAGAAACAGGAAAAATTCCTTTGAAACTAAGAAAAGAGTACTGGACTGTTATGCAATATTAGTCCTCCTATATGACAGTGAATGCTAAAAAATCTCCTCACAGATGAAGAAGAAAATTGCAGCAACAGAAATGTTATTCCACAGAAGGATGGTGAGAATACCATGGACTTAAGATTTTGATAATCAAGTTTTAGAGAAAATGGAAATAAAATGTACTTTTATACTTAGAATCAGAAAAAGACAATTGAAATTTCTAGGGTACATAACGAGGAAAGAGAGCTTGGAGAATTTTACACTCACAGGACATGATGAAAGCAAGAGAGAAAGAGGAAAACGGCGAATAACCCCTGCCTAACATGCTTGTCCAAATGGTTGGCAGAACAGGAATTAGGACAGCTAGCATAATGACAAATATTGCTAAAAGCTAAAAAGGACAGGCAGTTGTGGAGAGCCATAATCACGCGCTTTCTGAAGAGATACCACACATAGAGGAAGGATATGTCAGTATTTGTAAATATGTGATTTACTTACTGATCTAAAAATGATACAGAAATTTTTGACGGGTTGTAACAAGTATTATAATAAATGCTGAGCGATGAGTAGATAATTCGTTCTTATTGTATATCATACAAGCTTTAGTGGATGTTTTTCGTTTCCTAATTAAGTTAATAACTTGCTTCTTTTCACTGAAAGGAAGCAGCTTGCTCTGATTTAATGTGATTGGTTCGTTTTTTACGGCTTATCAACCCTTTTCGTATTATTTAAATCTAGAAAATATTTTTAGATTTTTTAGATAATAATACTTTAGTGATACAAGTCTTACTAATTAACCCATAGCTAGGGGGTGGAGAGAAGAGGAAGATTCACACCTTTCTTAGGAGTATTTGCGCGTAAGTGAATATAACGAATCCAACGGGAATTGGAATTCAGATATCCGATTAACAGTTTCAAGCCATTATTCATTGCACCACCTGCACATCCAAGCTTACTGCACCCGATATACCCAAGCGGTCACCCATCTTGGTTCTGTCCAGGCTCGACATTGCTTTGGTGATCGTACGGGAACCTGTGTCTCAACGGAATATGGCCTTAAACGGAAGCGGCTTTCCTTTGGCTAATACGATTGCGTTTTAGGATCATTATCAAATAAAAAGTTATGAATTTTTTTTTTCCTGGAGTTGACTCGATAACAGAAATCTTGTAACGCAAAATCGCGGATAAGAGAGAACTCGTTTTTATTTTTCACAGCTTCCACCGAATATAACAGTCCGTTATTTCCCTTCAAAGCTGCCAATATCTATACATTTTCAATGTCTCATCTTTGCCATCAATATTTTACTCGTGCAAACAAATAATGAAATTTTGTAAGTTTTGCAAACTGAAATACGATTGAGTTTTGACCGATCATCTTAGCAAAATACCAAAAATAGAATCAGTCACTGTAACGACAATAAAAATATCGAAACAAAAGAACCTTTCAAAGGGAAGATATACGAATTTTTCGACTGTACACTTTAATGAGCTGATTAAAAAATAATAAAACCCTTTCCCTTCAAAACCAAATCAAAGTTAAGACAGTCGCCATAGTTTCCCTCTAGAAAATATAAAACCATATTGATCTTTACTATTAGTGCAACAAGTTAATGCTAAACTAATTACGAATTTACTACTACTACTTCTCTATTGATATGAAAAGTACCATTGAAAGAAAATAATGCTTACGGCCACATCATGTTGAAACGCCGTATTCCCGTATGTTCACCGAAGTTAAGCAACACTGAGCCTGGTCAGTAAGTACCGAAAAGGGTGACTGCTTGGGAATACCAGGTGTTGTACGCTTGGATGTGCGGGTGGTGTAATGGATAATGACTCGGAATTGTTAATCGGAGAGCCGAGTTCCAATTCCAGTTTGGTTTTTTATATTCACTTTCTTGCAACTAGCATTGAGAAAGGTATGAATCCACCTCTTCTCCCCAGCTATGGGTTAATTAGTAAGATTTTTATCACTAAATAATTAGTATCCCCTATCCAATTCTTACAATGTAAAATATTTTTCTAACTTTCAAGAAATTGATAAGTTGTAAAAAACGGATCAATCAATCAATAAAATAAGAAAATAATGAAATTCACAGAAATCAAGTTGAACTATATTTGTTAGAATTACCATTTCCAACTTGATCTTCTTTAACTGCAATCTTAGACGGCAAAAATTGCGAATATTTTAGCAAGAGCATTTCTTTCAGTTTTCATTAAAAAAAATCAATATTTTCTTTGAATTTTAATTTTTCTTTTTCGCATTAATCATATATAAGTTCATAAAGCCCCTGACTGAAATTCGATATTGACTTTCTTGGCCATTTAAAATAAACGATTTTTAGCACAGCGTATTTCCCGACATATAACACACATTGTTGTATAATAAGAACTTATAATTTACCAAACTATATTAAAGAAAAATAAAAACAAAGAACATTCAACTATAGAGGCCGGTAGATATAATTCACTTTGTTTAAAAAACAATAGGACGTCTACGTCTACCAAACAAGTGTATCCACTAAAAAATAACGTTTAAAATAATAATTAATAATGTCTGATTTAAAAATGAAATCCACTAATTCCCTTAGAAATATATATATATATATATATATATATATATATATATATATATATATTATTCAGGAAAGGTCATATTTTTTTTTTTTTGCTCATTTATTATGGTACCTGGCATGTCTATTAAGATGACTTTTAAGTCCCGAAGAAGATTTCATATACTTTGACAGATAAAAGTTAAGCAACTTCGTGTCTGTTTAGTACCTAGATAGTTGACACATTTGGAATACCAGGTGCTGTAAACTTGGATGTGCAACTGATGTAATGGATAATTGTTAACCGGAGAACCGAGTTCCAATCCCACTTGGATTCGTTATTTTCACTTGCATACAAATGTCCTTGTGGAAGGTATGAATCCACTTCTTCTCCCCCAGCTATGGGTTAATTAGTAAGACATGTAGCACTAAAATCATTATTATCTCAATCTTAAACAAACTGTGTGCAAATTATTTAGATTTCGGTCTAAAATAATCCATAGAGGTGTTGGTATGTCGCTAAACCAAAACAACAAAACAAGAAACTGGAAGAGAATTGCACAGGCGAGAAGTTCGAAAGAAGAAAATTTTAGCAAAGAACTTATGATTGCATCTAGCCATTTCAGGTGTAAAATGATGAGACCTTGCCGCTAATCTTGTGCTGCGTATAAATTCATAAAGTCTACGTACTAAAACCAAAAGCTCATCAGAACAATTAGCATGAAAATATTTATAGAAAAATGTACAGGGAAGCTACGTAATATCAGTGGGAAAATGACTGAAGCCGCGATATCAGATCAGGACCAATAACATTGCAGATTCTTCTTTGTATATTATCAAGGATCTCTAAATACGTAGCAGAAGCACCAGACCAGATGTGACAGTATTAGTCAATAAATGGACGATACAAAAAAAAAGAGATTTAAGCGTCGAAGCAATGTTGGATATATTGTTTCTTTAAATGGTTATTTTGGACTGGAACCAATGAACATATTTGCAGATACCGATCAAGATCATGTAAATGTTCGTAACGAGTCCTTAATTATCTGTCTATATTTCAACAACCTGAAGAAGGCCGAAACGTTGTGATAAATATGGCAACAAAGATGAGGACAATAGTCCGAATAATGTAAATAGTGAGTTCTTCTGTGAAGTCGTCGTGATATCAATACCTCCTCCAGTGATTTTTAAACCGTGCGATGATCCTGCACCAGAATTAAATAATCAAATCGAATCACTAAAAGTAAATAACATTATCATATGACTTACTTAAAATCGAAAATACTAGTGACAACCTTGGTCTCAAGACTACGTTGTCGTCGTTACGTTTGTAGATCGTATTTTCTTTCAAAGTCTCCGGTTCCCTTCCTGTTGCTTGAGTTCTCGTGTGGCCTGTTAGACTAACACGAGAACAGCACACATTTCGGTAAGTAGGTACCGAAAAGATTTTGGATGATAGCAGATAAAGGATTCTGTGTATGGCATCTTCAACAACCTTCCTTTGTTTTGCTGAGCCAACGTTGCTTCTATGTTTTAAACAGTGTCTATGCAAACAAACCACTAAACAAATAAACAACCCTAACTTTTCTAATTGGTTACATATCTAGATACGAGGTGGATACATACCTTCTCGAAGGTTAGTTACGCGAAAATGAATATAAGGAACCCAACTGGAATTGGAACTCGGCTCTCCGATTAACAATTCGAAGCCATTACCCATTACACTACTCGCACATCCAATCTTACGGCACCTGGTATATCCAAGTGGTCTAGGTACTAACCAGGCTCGACGTTGCTTAACTATGGTGATCATACTTATGGCGTCTTCGTCAACCTTCCTCTATTTTTGCTTCTGTTTTGAACAGTGTCCATGCAGACAAGTTACTAAACAACTCCACACTTTTCTAATTAGTTACATATCTTCAGAGTGGCCCTAATGTAGTCTCTGTATCGCTTGCACTGAACACCGATAGGCCTTTCGCCTAGATTCAATTCAAGGAAGAAAGCAGTCGGTTCTCAGGCATACGGATGACGTGGTCAAACTAACATAGCTGCCGATCGCCAGGCATAACTTCGATGGTCGTTGATTGTAAACAGTTCCGAATTTCAACATGCGATATCTTATCCTACTCAAGTAACCTGAGGATTCTTTATAGGTAGGGCACGTGGTATCGTTCAAGAATTCACAGATGGCGACGGGAAGGGGGTCAGGATTCGCAGCCATACAACAGTGCTGAAACACATACTGCCTTTCTAACTTATAGACAGCGACCTTGCTTTTACTGGTGAGATTCCTCTTGAGGAAGACACGTTTGGAAAGCTGTAGATGTTCAAATACAATTGACCTCTACACATACACACAAAGTGATAGCTTAGTTTTTAGATTATCACATTGCCGACCATATAAATTACACTTCTATAAAAAAAATGGATAAAATAAAATTAAAAGCTATAAATAGAAAAGAAAATGATATAAAACACAACTTCATATTCTTTTAAAAAGTATTAACTACGTATAGTAGCGTAATGGTTAGAATTATTTTCATTAATCTTGTTCTTAAGAAATAAAAGACGTGGAGATTTTTCGATAGCAAGAAAGAAACTCCGCATCAAATTTGCTTGAAGACTTAAGAAACTCGTTCATGTCAGATCTTCGAGAATATATTTGGTTGCATTTTCATTCAAGTTCCTAACCTTGTACTGTTAGGTGCCTAATGCAAAAAGATGGACACTTAATAAAGATGTGGTTGCAATGTTTCTCAGTATGCAATAAATGGGGGATCTTAATAAAACGTGGATCGGAAAATCATTTAAAAGGACAAAAAATGTGAAATTAATAAACTAACTTGTCTTAATAAGTCTGAGAAGTCGGTATATTTCTTCAAAATAGATAAACGTCCACCTACCCTGTGTATTAGGCACCTATGTATTAGTAATGATAGGAGCGGTATAGAACCAAATTCATTAATCTGTTGTAATAAAAGAAATGTCAATGTTCTATTCTGCTTGGTTCTATGTCATTTCTCAAGATTATTTGAAAATAGACTTTGTAACACCCATAATCATAAATGGTACCCAAATCCTGATCTTAATGCAGTCGATGCATATAAAATAATACAGTGATTGTTACGAGGATAAGTCAGAAAGTAAAGGTAATTTTGAAATTACGCGAAAAAATCAACGTACGACACTAGAAGTGGGTATGAGATGATGGGTAGCTAGATTCACGCAGCATTCCATCATTCAATCGAGTAGCAGAGAGCAACGAGGTCAGACGTATGGATGCTCCACTCAGTGACTGTACTATCGAGAAACAACGCGCCGTTGTGCACTTTCTGTGGGAAGATAGAGTAAAACCCACTGAAATCCATTGTCGGGTGTTGGCGCAGTTTGAAGCCCGCACTGTGAATCAACGAACTGTATGAGTGGGTAGATGGCTTGAAAGCAGGAAGAACGGACCAAAGTTGATCTGGTCGCCTTTCGAAATCGGGCACGAAAGAACATATCCGGCGGGTGGATGCCTTGATTAGGAAATGCAGACAAATCACGTTAGTACATGTGGGTGGTAACTGTAGGTATCAGCTATGTTCACAAGCCATAATTCAGAATGACTTGGGGTACAGTGAATTCTGTGCGCGTTGTGTGCCCAAACAAGCAAGTAGGACAGACGTATCTTTCTGAACAACCGAAAAGTGTTTTTTTTTTTTTTTTTTCCTAAAGAGATAAAGAAGTTCGTTGAATGATGCCAGACGTACATCGCCTTGCAGGAGGACAATGTCGAAAAGTCACATATGTATTTGTTTTTCATCAGTGGAAATAAAGGGCTTGCATATTGAATTACGTTTATTTTTTTTTTTGTTTTCCACTCGTACAATATCCTATACCCTCGACATCATTTTGTAATGATTATATCTAATAGTTTTTTGGGTTTTTTTTTTTAAATAACCTGATATTTATTATCTCAGGATAGTATAACGGTTATCAGAACAGAAAATGGAATCACCGAAACGAGTTCGAATTTCAGTCGATTCTGTTTCATTCACTTTGCGCGAATGCTCTTGGAAAAGGCATAAATCGATCTTCCTCTAAATATCGGTTAAATAGAAGAGCAAACTGGGACAGGGGAAAGATAGCTCTGAAAAGTCAACTTAAAAGGGATGGGTTCCGTCAGGTTTATCTACACCCTAGATTTACCCACCGCTACAGCAATGTGTGGTGCTCATACAATCCTGATGAGCTATGGAATACGTG